TAACAATAATAAAATTATTGCTCCCTGCTTCGGCTGTTCGGCTGAATCTGAAAGTGAAACTTAAAATAAATGACTTGAAAGTAGCCCACATGCGCCCTCTGTTGGATACAATGTGCAATTCAATTAGGCTTGTTCCCAGAATTTTTGGGGTGAAAATAGTGTTTATATCAGCACATAAGTTATGATCGATACCAATATGTTCACAAATGCCTATATCGGCCAAAAATATTGGACCTACTGATATATCGGTTGTGCTCTATTAGTAGTTGGCAAAAATACAGCAGAAAAAATATATTTTAAACATTTTCCTTGGTCAAAAGATGTTATCCCTGCTCTGAAGCAGCACATGTGAGTAAAACTACACGAATGCTTTAATACAAACAGATGCCCTTTAGAGATTACCTGCTTGACTTTTTTGAATTGCTAAAAGATGTGCATTAACTTGAAGGTTCTGCAGAGTTGGATTAGTCAGTATCTTACCAGCAACAGAGAGGAGTCAGAAAAATTTCAGTTTAGAGAGTCAGGGAGAAGTTTCCAATGAGGGAGTCAAGCTAAAAGCTAATCAGACTGGGATTTTAGCCAACCGAAAATAAATTAATCTTCCAGGATTTTACAGCAGTTCAACGAAATGTTCTGTTGCTTCGCTCTAACATTTTTTTCATGTGAAACATAAACTGTCAAACAAGCTGGTTTAAATGTACCCAGTCAGCATTTCTGTCTGATGTAAAAGTGACGCAGGATAAAAACCCGTAAGGCATAATTTGCTTCGGCTGTTGTTAAATTTCTGTAATTTCCAGTATTTTAAATAATTTAAATTAACTCTAAAATGGACACCAGTCTGACGAGAAGTTAGTGCAACTTCTCCATAAGAACTGCTTCCTGGATTATCTACAGTGGTCCTTGAAAGTCTGTGAAAACTTTTTAATTTCCTATATTTCTGCATAAATATGAGCTGAAACATCATCAGATTTTCACACAAGTTCTAAAAGTGGATGAAGAGAACCCAGTTAAACAAATGAGACAAAAATATTATATTTAGTTGTTTATTTATTGAGGAAAATGATCCAATATTACATATTTGTGAGTGGTAAAAGTATGTTAACCTCTAGGATTATCAGTTAATTTGAAGGTGAAATTAGAGTCAGGTGCTTTCAATCAAAGGGATGATGATCAGGGCAGCATGGTGGTGCAGTTGGTAGAGCTGCTGCCTCTCAGCAAGCAGGTTACCTTGACTCAAATCCTGGTCCAGGGGCCTTTCTGGGTGGAGTTTGCATGTTCTCTCTGTGCTTCATGGGTTTTCTCCAAGTACTCCGGTTTCCTCCCACAGACCAAAAACATGCATGTTAGACTGATTGGTAACTCTAAATTGTCCCTAGGTGTGAGTAAGAGAGTGAATGGTTGTTTGTCTCGTTTGTCTCTATGTGTCCCTGTGATGGACTGGAGACCCGTCCAGGGTGTACCCCGCCCCTCGCACAGTGATTGCTGGACATGGGCACCGGCGACCCCGTGGCCCAAATTGGAAGAAGCAGGTAAAGATAATGGATGGATGTGTCCATGAACTGAACCTCAAGAGAAAGTGGGTCATGCAGCGACACGACTCTAAACACACAAGTCTTTCTACCAAAGAACGGTTCAAGAAGAATAAAGTCCATGTTCTGGAATGGCCAAGTCAAAGTCCTGACCTTAATCCAATCCAGATGTTGTGAAAGGACCTGAAGCTGCAGTTAATGTGAAGAAGCCACCAACATCCAGAGTTGAAGTTGTTCTGTACAGAGGAATGAGCTAAAGTTCCTTCAAGCCAGTGATCAGGACTGATCAACAGTTACTGGAAACGTTTAGTTGCAGTTATTGCTGCACATAAATTAATGACCAAGTATAATATTTGTCTCATTTGTTTAACTGGGTTCTCAATCTACTTTAGGACTTGTGTGAAAATCTGATGACGTTTTACTTCATATTTATGCAGAAATCTATAAATTCTAAAGGTTTCACAAACTTTCAAGCACCACTGTAAACTGACTGCTGTCCACTGCAGGTAAGACAGTGACTATTGATACAGTAACTTCTCAGCTGAAACAAACCTCTCTTTCAAATGCACCTTGAATGTAAAATGTCCAACAGATGTTTCCACAGGATCTACAATATTTAGGCTTCTTTCTAAACTGAATCGAGTTTGAAGGGAAATGTTGGCAACAACATGTTTCTTATTCAACTCTTGATTTGATCGTCGTAATTATTAGGAAGGGTAAACAATAATGCATCCCATACACTATGTAGCTTGTAAACTTTATACATTTCCCCTCCAGAAACTGTAAGGATGGCACCTTTTGCTGTTTCTGTTTGTGTCTGTGTTTCCCTAGTGTTTCCTCGTCAGTTTAATTGTTGCCACCTTTGTCTCGTCACACCTGCTGTTTGTAATCACGTCTTGTCTTGTCCTTGTATATAAACCTCCTGTCCTGTGTTATTCCTTTGTCGGGTCGTATTCGTTTGGGTCTTCATGTTTCCTGCGTCTTGTGAGTTTCTCCCTGAGCTTCCTGAGTCCATGTAAGTTTTGCTGCCACGTCAGCTTATTGTTTTGTTACCTTTTTTATTTATCATAAAACATATCTATTTTTGTAATCTGCCGAGTTGAGTCCTGTCTGCACAACTGGGTTCGTTCCTGTCCAGCTGATCCTGACAGAAACACTGGGTTTTCTTGAGGTGCACAAATATTCATTTTACTACTTTGAGTTTTCAGCTTGACATTTGCTACTTTAGCTTTAAACTTTTTATTACTTTTAGCTTTTATCTAGAATTTAGCTACTTTTCATTAGACTTGACATTTTTAGTTCTTAGCTTGACTTTTGGTATTTTAGCTTTTAGCTATCTTTTTATACTCTTAGCTAGAATTTAGTTACTTTTTAACTTTTTTTTGTCTTTTTAAAAACTTTTGTCTTTTTGCTACGTTAAATTTTTAGCATGACGAGTTACTAGAGCTTTTAGCTAGCTTTTTAATACTTTTAGCTAGAAATTGGGTATTTTGTAGCTTGCCTTTTGCTACTTTGAGCTAGTCTTTTGCTAATTTATGTTTTTAGCTTGATTTTAGACACTTTAACTATTAGCTAGCTTTTTATTACTTTTAGCTTTTAGCTATAATTTTGCTACTTTAAGACAGACTTGCCACTTTTTGTTTTTCGCTTGATGTTTGTTATTTTAGCCCTGTGATGGACTTGCGACTCGTCCAGGGTGTACCCCGCCCCTCGCACTGTGATTGCTGGACATGGGCACCAGCGACCCCCGTGACCCAAAATAGAAGACGCGGGTAAAGATAATGGATGGATGTTTGTTATTTTAGCTTTTAGCTAGTTTTTTCCATTACTTTTTGATAGAATTTTGCTACTTTAGGCTATCTTTTAAGGCTTTTATTTTTTTGCTCCTGTAAAAAAGTTTTTTTTTCTTGACTTGAGCTACTATAGCTTTTAGATGGTTTTTAATACTATTAGTTTTCTACTTGAAATTGGCTATTTGTAGCTTGCCTTTTGCTACTTTTAGGCTGCTTTTTGCTACTTTGAGCTAGCATTTTGCTAATTTTAGCTTTTAGCTTGACTTTAGACACTTTAACTAGCTAACTTTTTAACTTTTAGCTAGAATTTTGCTACTTCATTTTTTTTTTTTTTGTTATTCATTTATCTTGTCACAGTTAGCAGGAGACTTGGAGCTAGAATTCATAGTGGACAAGAGAAGATAAAAATCCTCCTCATTTTACTGAGGAGGAAAATAAAAAGGCCGAAGGAGGCCGGCGTATGAACAGGGACAATGTTCAGCTGTGGAATGTTGCAGGCCGAGGAGCTGTACGAGCTGAAGGGAAAGAATGAGATGGGAAACAGCTGAGGTAGATGAGACAGGGAGCAAAGTTGAGAGACGGCACAAAGACCAAAATGCAAACACATTACTAGGTTCAGCTGCTTTTATGTTTGCATTTTATTTTTGCTATATTTGTAGCCAGGGTTTTATTTCTAACTTCAACAATTGAGTTTTAGCTTCTTCAGCACTCTGCTCTCTGAAAGTGTTTTTGCAGAATCTGCAACATCTCTTGTCTAACATCATTACTGGCACTAAAACAGTTTGAGTAAAATTTTCTCATTTCCATCCGACTCTCATCTAAACATTGTAAAACCATTGGGTGCATGCAGTTTCTCCGTGTTTTTCAGTTCCTTCTGGGCGGCTTCATAACCTCCCAGTGAGGTGTCAGGGGCAGCACGTCCAACATGCATCATAACTAAATTCAGGCCAGAGTTTTAGCCCTCTCATTGTGTATTGATTGCGTCCTGCTTAGTGTCTCCACTGATCCGTTTTCTCCTCCACAAATCTATCAAATCTCATCTCTTTCAGCTGTTTGACATCATCTGCTCTCATTCTTGCTGAACACCAGTGCTCTGTCCTCTTTATCAACTCTTTTTCTTCATTCTTCAATTCTTTCCTGCCTCAGCTCATGTACGCGACTGACAGGCTGCTGTAGCTGAACCTGTAATGATAATAGTTGTGAGAATGGCTGTTATCCGGAGCTATATGTTATACTGATGGCCCGTTCCACCCAGCGGGGCTGTAACTTACGGGGCTTATCTAAACAGCTAGCATCTTCAGCTGTCACCTCGCACCCATTAAACAAAGTAAAACGCTTCGATCTGAGTTTCTCTCAGCTCACAGGGTGGTGATCCATTCTCTTTAAGGCTCCACACTTGTTCTCCATCACTGTTTAAGCTCCTCACCAGGCCACAGAAGCTGCTTATCAGTCGGATTAAAAGGCAAACATCCGATGTGGTAAATTTAAGAGAAGTATCTAGAGACACATCCTGCTTTTTGATACTTCGTTTCCTTCCTTTTTCACCCCAACTCTTTCTGCTCAGTCGTTCCCTCAGACACCATAATTACCCCTCACATCTTCTCTGCTCCCATTCACGGCCTGCTGTTTACTCCTTTTTCATTTTCCTCTTTACATGCTCAAGAGTCTTTCAGCATACCTATGAAGTCGTTGCTCATTCCCAAGTCGTAGTCCCAGACCGAGATCTCCAGGGTTTTCTTCGCCAGCTGGTCCAAGGATACTTCGTATGAGAACTCCTGTGCAGGTGGTGCACACAAGAGGAAAATTTAAATCAGTCATTTGGAAACGCGGGGCTGAAAAGAGACAGATTTTTGGCAAATGTTATGTGAAAACATGCTCAGATTGATGGTGGAAGCACACGCCGGAGATGACAGGATGAAGAGACTTTCAAAGCCATGCTGCTCACGCTTCATTTTGCAGATCATTCAGGGCTCAGCAGGGAAATCAAAGAAGTCCCTGGGTGTGTGTTTTAGACCAAGAGAGAGGCATTACCTCATTAAATTCAGGATTAAGAGTCTTTTTCTTCACTGTCGTCTTGTACTTTGACTTTTTCCCCATGTCAGGCTGCAGGATGCTGCAAGAAAGAGACAGAACAGACGTACAATTAAAAATATAAAACCAGTAAAAGTAGAGTTTCATAAAATACTGCTGAGTGCAACCAAATAAATTTAATGACATACATGTAGAAACTTTTATACTCTAAGTTTAATGCCAACCTTAAAATATATGACTTTATTTAATTTTATCAATATATATATATATATTTAATGGAAGAGTTGTTTGTGGTTAATGTTTGTTAATGCACCACTACGGTTCTGGTGGATCCTGCTTCTACCAGTCACTTTGTTTAAATGTACATGTGTGTTAGAAACATAGATGCTGTTAAAGTGAAAACCAACCAGTCGTGGATTAAAAGGAGAGAAAAACACTTGATAAGTAGGATTTTAATCACAGACTGTCCTTCCTGAACAAAAAGCCTGCTGGGGTTTCTTAGACTTAATTTAAGTCTTCATAACAGTAAAAAAAAAAAATATATATTATTTGGTCTAAGTTTTCCAGATTTGTTGAGTAAATTAAGCTCAAACCTAACTTAACCACCTCCTATAGTAAAACATGGTGATGGCTGGATCATTCTGAAGGAACATCAAAGTTCATGCTCAATAATCCAGGTAAAAAAAATCCAACAAAGTTAAGTCAGGTCCTCTGGACGGTTTCTTTATTTTGTTGAAACATTTCATCTTTCATCCAAAAGACTTCATCACTTTGGCCATGGCTGCCTCAGACGAGATTGCGGGGGAGAGGGCGGACTCCAGAAACCATCTTATCACCATCCAACTGGTTGACCCACTATGTGAAGGGACTATTAAGACTGAATTTGTTGTGGCTCCTCAGACTGATGGAAGTTTTTGGATGAAAAACGAAGAAGTTTTTGTAAATAAAGGAGGAAACTTTATTTGAATTCATTTTAAGTGGCATGGATATTTTGGGAAACAACTTTTTTTTTGTCTAAAATGTTCATTTCTGTCTCTTCAGAATGAACGTCTGGGTCATTTCTTGATGTCGATAATCATAGTCATGAGAACAGACAAAAATATCACAGGCTTGTCGTCATTATTATTGGCGACCTTAAACTCTTATTGCCTAAAAGCAAACATTAAGTAAAATACTGGTTTAGCTGAAACACTAACAAGGAAAACATTAAAATCCATTATAGTCAAAGTCCCATTGAAGAAAGAATGTATTGATGCTACAACTGTCATATATATTTTTTGTTTTATAAACAACGTTTTTTTTTCTGTAACCTGAAGATTAAAAAAATAGAACGTCTCTAGAGTATTAAGTTGATGTCAGGATTGTGTAAACCCTTAAATTCCTGCAGCTTTAGGCACCACCTGCCCTCCATCTTTGACCTTTTACACAACTTTGTGTCTTTTTAAAGATATTGTTGGAGAATGTTTGCTGCATTGTTGGAAAAGCTCTAACAGATTGTATATTAGGGAGAATCAAGGGCATTAACGGATGTTTTGGCATGTGCTGTGCATACATCACTAAATAAAGGCAACAGAAAGCAAATATTTAAGTAAAATATAATCTTATGTAACATCATATGACAGAACGCCATGAAAGCAGACGAGTTATTCAGCGATCAGGACTTTCTAAACAGTAAAGTCAAATGGTGATGCGAGTATTTTATGACCTTTGCTGTTGGATTTGCAGTCATGTGAACATGAGCCACCAGCACTGCTAGTTTTACATGTTTGACCACCAGCAAAGGACAAACAGAGAACATCTATTGCACATGAAAAAATGCATTAGAAAGATATTTAAAGCATTTTTACTACTTTGTATTATTGTGATGAACCCAGTTAGAGACTAAATGAGACGAAGTTCGTTTAACTCTTTTATGAGACAATTGTGACCCAGAAGGCTTTTTAAAAACAAAATCCAGGGAGAGTGAGGAAGTGAAACATGGAGCTGTGGACCACAGTGAGTTGTAATCATCTGGCAAAGAGGCAACAGAAGGGAACGCCGGAGGGCAAAAGAAGTCGTCGTCAGCATAAATTTTAGCTCAAGATGTTCAGCCGTTAAGATATCTCAGTCTTCCAGCTCCAACGACACCCCCATCCCTCACCCCTTCCCACTGGAGACGAGTCCTGGCCTGACAGCTGAAGCACGAGATGGGCTGGAGGGCTGTCACTGCAGAGCCAGAGTCAAACGGAGTGAAGGATGGACGGATTAGAGGAGAGGAAAAACAAGTGGGAGGGAGGACCTATTAGAAAGCCCACATGAAAAATGAAGCTGACGCACTGAGAAACAATCAGTTTCTTTTAGCGTGACATCAGGTTTCAACGAGTGGCTCTGGAGCTGAATTAACTTTAGGTTAAGATTAGTCCACAGCTATAAATCCACGCTCAGTTCCTCCAGATTAAGAGCTGAGAAAAATATGAGGCGACACTAAAGTGAGTTTAACTCTTCATAT